CAAAGTTATGTAAAAAAATAATGTTTACAAGTAATTATAAAATATGTGTTGATGAGGTTTTATTTTCTGCATAATGTTACATTAAACTATAAAAAAAACATTGCTTACTGTCTTCAATGTTTAATGTAAATTTTAAAATGCGATGTTAATTAATTTGAACATGTGAAATCAAGTATTTTTCCTTACAATTTACTTCATGAACCTCATCATTTTTAGTTCAACATTGTTATTGCAGTCTTGAATAGATATCATCAAAATGTAATTCATTAATTTTAATCTCTGACTTCAAAAACCAATTGCATGATATCTCAGCAACCACAATTAGGAGCATAAAGCAAATAAAACAAAAAACAAACAAACAAACAAACAAACAGTTCAAAGGTGATTATTTGATATGTGTTTTTGTGAAAGGCCGTTTGTTGAGTCAGGTCAGTGTGCCCCTGCCTGGAGCATGGTGTTGTTGGTAGAATATTTTGTGCACAGATTGGGTGAGCATTAATGGCTTCACTCTGCAGTTCAAGGAAAATCATTTGCATTACATTAAAATGAACGATGAACATTCCTAAAGTATAAATAAAGAATTGCAGTAGCTTCGGGCTTTATTTCTTAGTTGATGTTAAAGGTGCTTTTTTTTGTTGCTTTTTTAAATAATTTGTCTGAATATTTCAAAATCAGTGGATTAATTTTCCATGATGCAAAATTTAACATGCTTATATAAAGTTACAGAGCATGTGAACACTTTCAACTTATTCCTTCAGTCTACAAGAAATGCTTTTCTCCAATCCTTTCAAAATGTCCTTCATTTAGACATAATAAATTAACCTTGTTTTAAATAAGTGGACACCAGAGATCTCAAAATTTCAGGAGATAGCCTTGCTAAATGTGTATTTTCAAAAAGCTTTGTCAGAATGTCTTTTAATACTAGTTAAATTAGTTTTTTTTGTTTTTACACAATTGTGTTTCTTTTACTTAATTACAAAGTGCATATTACTGTGATTTATAATAAATTTACTTCTTGTTTAGGTTGATTGCTGCAAGTGAAGTATGGATTAATTTTTGTGTTGATTCCATTTACAATCATCTTCCTGAAATGCACTACTGAAAATCTTGAGACTGGGAAATGATGAATTTATAATGTTTTGAATTATGTTTGTAGTTTTATAATACAAAAAGAGGATAACTATGCAAGTTGTCAAATGATGGAAACGCAAATTAAACCACTAACTTGAAAAGTGTATCAGTGCTGAATTTGGACGATTTTGTCATGTAGAACAAATAATCAGATAAGTAAAGTTTATTTGAACAACAATGAAAAGTGAGGTTGTGTGAGCCTGGTCCTTGGGGATGGCAATCAGAGTCGTATGTTGAAGACCAGTGAAAAAGAGATGGTGAGTTTCAGGTTGTTGGAAAATGGAACTTCGAGAAGAATTAGACTGATCTTACAGTAGACAGTGGTTTCCAGAGTATGGTCCCTTTGTGGGTGTCCTGGAAGTGGTCGGGATCCAGTGAGAGGTCTAGACAGGAGTGAGTTCTTGGTTGATGATGAAGAGGTTGCGGTGGCGGGCAGACAGGTAAGTTCAGGGCAGACAGTGTTTATCATAACTGGCAAACACTGAGGCGTTGAAGTGCTGGTCGTCTGCTCCTCATATACTCCAGGATGATTGAGTGATGAATCATAGAGTCAGCAGGCATGCCTTCCAAGGTGTGCGGCCTCCAGCCACTATCTAGTGGATAAATGGGAAAGCAGCAGGCAAACAGAGAAATCCCACATAAAAAAACCAAAATCCCAGTATCCAACAGATGCAAGACAGCTATTTTAAAAAAGATTCTAAAATCAGTTTTACAAATATCAAGTCATAGCTCAAATTCAGGCTCTTAGATCACTAATCCAATTATTGCGCAACAACAGAGGTCCTTAAAGAACAAAGGCCTGGTCTCCTCCCTCATCATAAACCTGCCTGTTTGGACTTCACAAGGAAATGTTTTCTGCCTGGCACAGTGGACAAGAATTCATTATGAATTATGAATTCATAAGCTCTTTTTTTTCACTCCCTGCAATGACGGTAGGACGTCAAACTGTGACTGGCAATAAGAAGATGTTAGGGGGGGCACCTATGGTTTGTCTGGAAATCACTGGGTTTTTCAAGGGGAAAAATGTTTTTCTTCTGCAAGTTCCCTTGATCAAAAACTCAGTTTTTTGGGGATGGACGAGAGAGAAGATTTACATTGACAGAATTTCAATCAAGTGATGCTGTTCTTGAAGCCATCCTTACATGGAGCAATGTTCTCACCAGTGGAAACACTCAGCTCAAACAAACCTCAGTCCTACTCACAACTGAGTCTTTTTTAACGTTATTAGTTCTTTTGTTTGTTGTTGCAAAACCTCCAGTTATTTGATGAACACTCTGGAGTTTCACAGTCACTTTCAATAAATTTCTTACTGTATTTGTCTCTTGTGCTTTTTTTTTCAATTTAGCAAATTTAAATAGGAGTTTCAAAAGTTTGATCAGGCTTATACACAACAATATTTTCTTGCTTCTTCAATGTGACAGACTTTGGTGAATACAGCATAGGGGTGCTTAAATTGATTCTTCATTCATTCCACCTACAAAAAAGCATAGTGATTAAGAGCTCTTATCTCCACCATCCCACACAAACTGAACCAAGAAAGAAAAAAATAGTGAAAATTGAGAGATTATGGCCTCTCTTTGCTTCACCTTATTTTAGTGTGTGCCTGTGCTCCTTTATTTGCATAGTTGTCTGGATGGCAGAGGTGCTGTTGCCCTTTGCACATCTTAGATGGAAAGGGCAGCTGTGCTCCAACATTGACACAATTGATATGTTTGCAGAGACAGGAGAGAGATAGAAGGCAGGTTGATAAGCAGGAGGTTTATAAATCAGGTTCATTGTGTCAGTGAGGGTGTAGGCATCGTGAGGAAGGGACAGAGATTCTGAAGGGAAATAAAAAAAGACAGCTTAGACTTAAAGAAGACAGAAGAGAGCCTTGTATATTGCATCAACCTCATCACAGGGCCTTAAGCAGGTAATAGCCCTTTTCTTTTTTTTCTGATTACCTTCCTGAAATCACACGAACATCTGGGTAACTATGACCTTTTCATATCTTTTTAAGCAGTTGCTGAAAAGTTTGACACCATTAATTGTAAGAGACCAATTGATGAAAACAATTAATTACACTCCAAGAATCCAACTAACAATCTGAATTGAAAATTCTCACAGAGGATTAAAGCTTAATAATTAGGTCAGTAAATCAATTCTGCCCAAGCACGTCAGATGGTGAGACAGGAGACGACTGTATGAAGTGATTATGAAGTGGAATATAGGAGTTATTCAAACCATGACCACTATTGAAGTGACGTCTAACTGCAAATGTTTCGAAAAGGTCAAGCTAATTACATTGAACAGACAGGTCACATAACGAGGCAGCAAATCTGCTGTTTGAATTTTCCTCCACTTGGCTTTCTTTTATTTTTTATTTTTTTATGTTTGTTTGGAAATTGTACAAAAACTTGCTGCCAATCATTGTGAATGCTGAAAATTACGTATCAAGATGGAGAAGCGAACTGTTGCGCAAGCAGTGCCCTAAAAAGTACTCACACCTTTTGACGTTTTCACATTTTGTTCTGTAACAGCCACAAATGTTAATGTATGTTTGAGGGATTCTGCTGTATGTGATATTTGTCCATAATTGAAAAGTCGAAGGAAAATTATACATGGCAAAAGAGTGATGTGCTATTGTAGCCCCATGTATCACGTTTTACTGAATTACCTTTTTCTCCTTCTAATGCTACAAATATATTTAAGCTTTACATGTCAAAAGACTGAAATTTCTTCCCACAATTATTTGCAATAGAGCTTAAACAGTCAGACTGCAATGGAGAGCTTCTCTGAACAGCAGTTTTCAAGTCTTGCCACAGATTCTGAAGTTAGTTTAGGTCTGGACTTTGACTTCTCCAAATCTAACCCCTGAAAATGCTTTTATATTCCATTCCATTCTGGCTGCTTGTTAGTTTAGAACTATCTAACTGTGTCTCTTGGTCTTCATGAGGTTGCTACAACATTAAACTTCTGAAGGAAAATTGACTTACTTCTATTTAGGGATGTCCGAGTAAAATGAGTTAATTACACTTTGATTTGTCAAACATTTTGAAAACCTTGTGTCCTTTTCCTTCAATGTATAAATTATGCACTACTTTGTGTAGGTCAACAACATGAAATCTCAGTGGAATATATTGAAGATTTTGTGAAGATAGCTTGATAAAATGTGAGACAAATTGTGCAGAACTTTGTATTAGATGAATACTTTTGCAAGGCACTTTAAATGTTTGGGCCTATTTGTGTCTGAGAGATAGTAAGTGAAAGAATGGCTGCACTGCACAGGAGAAGTGAAACAAGGTCAACACTATGAAAGAAAGGAAAATGGAAAAGGCAGTGTTAACATTGTGTTGCCACCCAGCTTGGTGCTTGTTGTTGTGTGTTTGCATGGAGCTCACATCCTCAGAGGAGAAATTCTGTCAAGTGTGGTCCAGTCTGACCTTTTCACTCCCCGGGCACGTCTCCAGTTCTCCAATACCCATCAAAAAATCTACTCTCTTTACGTTGGGAGCACAAACTTGCGTCTTCCAATACTTTCTCCTGCACTCTTGCCAGATGTTTTAAGTATTCTGCACATGAACCCAGTGTGCTTAACCTCGATATTTCCTCAACTCTTTGTCACTCTTTTCTCATTTATATTCCCTCTCTCCTATCTATTTGTGTTTGACCGTTCTTTTAACAATCTATGCTGCTTGAGCAATTCTTGTGGAAGACCTATGTGGGAACTCAGGGCGCTGCCAGCAGCAACTGTAGGAGTAAACAAAGCTGCATTTGCATAAGCACTGATATAAACACATTTCTTTAACTTTTTTCTTTTACTTAAAGTTTTCCTAATCTATTTTTCAACTTTTAAATAACTTTTTTCTTTTATTTATTTTCTTTCAGAAATGGAGTTCATTTGGCTGTACTCCCTGTGCCAGTGCACTCTTTCTTTATTTCTGATTGTGGTCAGTGTGAGATTGTGCATGGCGGTCAGCAGCAGCAGAGCTGTGGCTGACGTCCACCAGGAAGAACAGGGTGGTGGGGTACAACCTGGAAGTGTGTCATCCTGTCTCCGCCTGTGCCTGGGCTGTGTTGGGGCCGTGGGTGGGGCAGTGGGAGTTCCTGTGACTCTGCTGCTCAACCTGCGAACACCCCACTGTCTCTACACATGCATGACACTTGTGTGTTGCCCTTTGCTGATCCGACAGTTTACCATGTTCCTGTTAATGCTGCTCACACTGGACACCCACCTGCAGCATCATTTGGCAGACAGGTGAGTCTGACAAAGGGAAGAATCAACAAACAAATTGAGCATACAAAGTTTCCAAATTGGAAAATGTATCAGTCAAATGTTATACATGACATATTCTCAATTAAGAAGCAAACAAGGGAGTGGTGGTGATTCTCCATAGTGTGAAAAACCTCAAAATCTAGATACCAATACAAACAACTCTTAAAAAAAATCAACACAAATGAAGTCAAACATTTTGGATGTTCTCTTGTATCAATTTGATTTAGATTAGAAACATTACTCTGAAATCCAACAGACATGACAGTATCATTAATAATTCAAAATTAACCTGGTGGCTATGTCTGGCAATCATTGGGAAAGAGAGGCAAAACAAGGCACTAATTCCTAAGGGCAGTTCAGAGTAACAAATTAACCTGTTGTTAGACTGGAGAGGATCCAGCTAAGCATTCAAACTTCAAATAAATCCAATCTGACTAAATACAAATGCAGCTTTTATATCCCCAACCTCTTTTGTTGAATCATTAATTCGGCACTAATGAAACTGTTGTTTAATTTCACCAGCCACACTTAGCCCTGATTACAACCAACCAGTAGAATCAAGAAATCACTAAATAAAATCTGTCTGACGTTGAACACATTCGGTTCTGAACAGGTGAGAAGCACAGTTATTGTCCATCAGTTTATGAAGGATTACTAAGCCGTTTTTAAAAGTTTGAGACTCTCATGCGCCACAGTGAGAGCCACTGTCCATAAATGCAGAAAACATTTCACAGTGATGAATCTTTCTTGGAGTGACCAGCCAATGCACATCTCATCCACTAAGTCACAAAATGACCTTGAACAACATCTAAATCACTGTAAGCCTCATGTGCCAAAATCAAAGTGTTCATGATGCAACAGTACAAAAGAGGCTGGGGAAAATATCCACCTTTGAGAAGTCATAAACAAAAACACAGTATTGCCTTACAAGCCTGGTGTACATGCTGCCTGTGTATTTTCAGCTGTGAATAATTCATCAAGTTATCCAGAGGACAAACATTAGCAGGAAAAGCATAGATGTTGTTGTTTCCAGGAGATCGGCTCTAAGCCATGCAAGAAAAACACCTCTGCTGCCCAGCTTTCCTTCAAGCACAATCCTGGATTATGTCAGTCTTCACTCAGCCAATTCGGCCAATTGGGTTGCTCTGCTCAGCACTTGGCGACACAGCACACTCCTTCACACAAAGCAATCCACAATCCTCTATGCAAAATTGAATGTCTGCCTTACCTCCATATAAAGCAGACAGAAAAAACTGTCTCTGTTATGGTGCATAGAGAAAAGCATATACATTGTTTTCCGGGAGCATAGGAGGCCGCTGTGTGTGCTGCCGTTCTCAAACCCGTACAGAAATGGCCAAAGATTTGCACAGTTCGGCAGAGGATTTGCCATCTGGTTTCATAGCAAGTCCACCCTGATCTGGAAATGACACAAATTGGCAAAAATGAAACTCTTCCTGAAATATGTTACTTTGAATGTCTCTTTACCGGGCAATTAAGCATTTGTGTTGCCCAAAGGGTTTGCATTTCACAAGTTATTTGAACAGTTACAATGCACTTCTCTAAGGGATGTGGCATATTAATTGAGAGATCAGTTGTTGACACTGACGGCATTAAAGCTATTTCATGCCATCAGTGAAATATAAGCTATATAGACTATATTAAAGTCTATATCTTTATTATAGACTAAAGTCTAATTTCAGAACTTATTCTAACATTTTTTGTAACTTTTTGGCAGATACTCTTCAGTGGTGACCCGTCGGCGAGCTCTGTGTGTGGTCCTGTTGTGCTGGTTGGGGTCAGTTCTCTCGTCCTTCGCCCAGTTCATAGGCTCTGACGTCCTCAGCTCCTCCAGAACTGATGGCTCTAGTGTCAGCACCGAAGGTCATGGATTAGAAGCCAACTGGACCACCTCCTCACCCCCTCTTACAACAACCCCTGTACCAAGGTACTTTCATGACCGTAAGGTAATTGGGAAGTTCCTCCCATATGGAGGTTTCTTGTCAAAGTTTTATGTGGAGGATATGAGCAACTTCACCTACGCAGAAATCCACAGCAGCCACTGGGGCATGTGCGCTCCTGATGCTATCCTAAGCCCACAGTTCATCGTCTACGTTCATGGAATGACTGTCTTTATCCTGCCATTTCTTTTCTTACTGGCCATTTACTTTGACTTTCTGTGCAGTAAGCCAAAAAAGCCTCTTTTCAACTACACTATTCCTGAGAAACGATCCCATTTGCTCTGCTTTCTGGTCCTTTCCATGTCTCTTTTGGTTATGCTTTGCCTACCACTCTATATCATCCAGGTTCTCTTGCTTTTTAACCCCCATACCCATCTACCTTTTTGGGCCCATGCAGGTGCCCTATTCCTCTTTCAGACATATACTCTGGTTCCCCCAGTCCTCTTTACTCCTGCAAGGAAGCAAGTGGGGGAGCAGCGGGCATCCTTTCAACTTGCTGTTCCCAACCTCCAGCCTTCACTTTCTCATTTCAGAGGAAAGTCTGTCCACATGGCACTGCGTGAGGTAATGCAAACAGTTCCGTGGTCTTCAGCTAAAAATTCCCTCAAAGCTAAAGTGCGCCCAGAGGCCTGAGTTTTGAAAGGGTACAAACCTGTATTTTGTGCACACTTTCATGAATAGTAAGTAAACAATCCTGTTTGTAAAAGAAATATTTGAAACAAATAACGCATTACATATATATATATAAATATATATATATAAATAAAAATGCTTTTATATATATATATATATATATATATATATATATATATATATATATATATATAAGCATTTTTATTTAATCATCAACATTTGCTGTACATATTATGAGTTAACTTGCAAACAGAAAGGCCATTTAATTATCAGGTCCCACACGAAATGTCAGGAAAATTAAGTCTCCAGATGATAGCCACTATCCTGATCACAGATGCCTGTTTCCTTTGACTGCTCCTTCCTCTGGGCTTTTATTCTTCTCCTTTTATTAATCCCCGCTAAGCTAACAACTAGTGATGTAGATATATGTGTGACAGAGACTAATTAAACATTCCCTAATAACAGTAGTCCAGGGAGATTCTGGTGTTGTAGGCAAAGCATAATTAACCCCTGGTTATGACACAATATTCAGTGCTGCTTTGACTTTACTTGTGAATACAATGTGATGGTCTTTTGAAATAAAAAGGGTCTTGCTTACAATAATTGGATTGTTCATCTTGTACCATGTTGGTGTTAAGAAATCACTGATGGAGAAAAATATGATAAATTTATCTTCCTCCTCATAGAATGGAGTCTTGAAAGACATCTTTTCTTCTCTGCTTCTTCGATTTGTCCTGATAATAACCAGCAATTTGTGTAGAATTTTACATTCATCAGCTCTCATAATTGTCCTTACTGAGCCACATACAATGTCTTGTAAAAGTGTTAATAAACCTTGAATTGCGTCACATTTTCTGATATTGTAATGTAAGTAAAGTGTGGTTTTCAGCAGTCCCTATCCTCACCCACCACAATCGCCCCTCGCAAATTGCAGTGGTTATGCCCCCTTTACAGTTGTACCCCTAAATGAAATACAGTGCAACATTGAAAACTACCATTTGCTGCAATTACAGACACAAATGTTGTTAATGTATGGTTTTAACTTTCTGGGTCTATAAGCTAAAATGTTTGTCAAATTTTGAAGATGTTAGCTACTGCTATGGTGATAAGACCACTATCTGACTCTTATGATATATTTGGTGTTTGACTATGTACTTACAAGCATTTTTAAAGGGAGTCTCAAGTATTTATGGATGGGTATGGTCCCTAATCTTTGTGAATACCAAGTAGCAGCTATAAAGCATAGAGAAAACTGCAAATAGAGATAGAGAGGGTTGGGAAGTACAGGTACGTTCATGGAAAGAAGATGCTCTTTAAAGAGTTTCTTGAAGATAGACAAAATATGGAAGACAGAACATTTTTTTGAAAGCACTGAATGGGCAACTTCTTGTGAGCATAATGAAACATTATTCTCTCATTCTTGCTCTTTGTAGTTAGAGTCATACTATGGTTTATTATGAGCACTGTTGAGTTTTCAGTCACTACAAAAAGCCTACATTGGAACACATTATTGATAGGGCAATTTGGTAAGGACAAAGACAGGAAGAGAGGAATCAGAGTGCCCTTTCTTCTGTGGTGCAGCTCCCCATTTGATTGCTCTGCTTGTCTAAAAGCTTTCTGCTTCCTGATTATGCAACTCCAAGACACACAAGTCACCTCAATCAATGCCTCATGCTAACAGCATCATCACTGTGTACACATCGGTCTGTGCCATGTGCCATGTCAGATTCCCACTGTCACCAAAGCAAAATAACAGAAAATGTGTTCAGGTTGCATTCACAGATGGATAAAACTGTTCTAATGTACCATGTTCCAGCCAAGAAAATAAATAAGCTCAAGATCCAGATGAGTGTGATATTTACTGCGACTCGTAGAACTGAAATATGATGTAGTAAATGGGTCGTAACTGGAAAATTCCCTGACATGAGCCAGTTTCAGGTCATTAATCTGTTAAACTGGAATCAGAAAGAAACAGTGTGGGTTAATCATAGGCTTTTGACTGTCAATATACTCCAGAATATCACTAAATTCACTCGATTATGATGGGTAAAGGTTTCAAGGCCTAACTTTCTTTTTAGATTGTTTTCCAATGAGTCAAACTCTTCTTCAATATCATAATTGGCTTCTTGATGCTTTAATTTCCCTATTTTTTATACACTTATTTATTTATTTGGGAGCACCTAAATTGTGTAACAGTGTGGACACATGTTTGCTCAAGAAGTTGGAGAAATGCATGTTTTCTTCCAGGTAAACTCAGTTTTTTATCTCAGTGCATCCGGTCCAATGCACTGTGTTGCATCAAGGGAAAGTAATAAGTTCATGATTCTTTTCCACTCATTTCCTGTCCAGGCTTTGTACCTGACCATGACAGTTTATTGTGCACTGTGGGCTTAACAATGTGTAAACAAGTTTTATCAAAACAGGTAGACAGGTGCAGGACAAAAGAAAAAGGATTAGACCTAGAAAAAAATATGCACTGTATCTGAAAGTAAAGTCTGTAAGAAATAGAAAGAAGTTTAGCAAAGTCCTGACACAGGATTTGATTGATGCATTATTCTCCACTTAATTCATCTCTATGCCAAGTTTTCTGATAATAGGTTTTATAGTGTCATGTTGTTGTTTTCTGTCTCTCAAGCTGTTTGCAATTGCAGTTCTGCAAACGAAGTGTCGAAAGACTTTTTAAATGGGTTTTGTTGTCTGTTTTGTGTTGACAGAACACTGGTTCGTAACTTTTAGTTTAAAAGCCTTTTTATGCCTGAATGATTTATACGGAAGGGATGTAACAAACAAACCAAACCAATCCTTCTAGTTTGGTACTGGGCACAATAAAGCAGCTAAAGTCAAAATAAAAACTATGAAACACCTCAGAAAGCCCAATGACATATTGTTTAAGGTAAATGAGAGTGAAATACACAATTTGAGTACCTGCTTATGGCTAGAAAAGCTAAATACAGGAGCAGAATCTTGTTAAGTTTCTTCCTGTAGTGAGTAAAAGTACTTATAAAGAGTCAATGCTTTCACAAATAAGATCGCCATTAGGAGAGAATTTACTTTCTTGTACCCAGATAGTTTTTTAATGTTTTTATGTCTTTACAATTTTGACAAATGGATTTCTGTCGCTGGATGTCATCAAGTAAACAAGATATCATGAATCACAAATTTAAGTTTCCCTAGCATTCTAATCAATGCTATAAAACCTGCTTCTGATTTTATAAAACATGTCTAAGATTTTGCAACTGCTATAAAACATACATTATTTTAAGACTTTTTCCACATCTTTATCAGGAATGTCAATAAATGTGCACATCTGTTACTATGAAGTCACGCAAGCAAGACAGGTTTTAACTTGATTGCAATTTTCAATATAGATTAAAAAGAAGTCTATAAAAAATATATAATTTAATGTTTCTCCTTTTTAAAGAGAAGCACAAGAATGATGAAAAACAAAAAACTTACGTAAAAAAAAAAAAAAAAAAACATTTACTTGAAGGGTATACACTTCTCTCTGGAAGACGTTCAAAGGAACAATATTCTCTGTTTTATTACTCATTGACCACTGCAGGTCTGATAGAGGGTGCTACCAGACCTCCCTTTGCGTCATCATAAACTGAAGATATGTCTCGAATTGGCTGAATTGTTTGCAGTTGAGAGTGTCAACTCATGCTGGTCGCGCCTGGCGAGTCCATTACTTTGATTGCCGTTTGACAATCTGTCTTTATGACAGGCGACTGTGGAGCTTCGGCATCAATGGGGGAGAAACACATCGATCCATCCCCTTGTGACCTCCAGCTGCTTTCAAATCTAGCCTTGCACACAGATGGACATGTTGAGTGCTCCTCGACAGAATCGGGTATTGATTGCGTGGAAGCTAATGGCAGAGTCATATTTTTCTGTGTGCATCTGACTCAACCTTCCTGTCCCCCCTTTCTTCCCTGCTATCTGTTCTTGTGATTCATTAACCTGGCAGCAGATGCGTCTGTTTTGTTTATTTCGACTGAGCTGCCAGTGTTAGCATCCTTCATCCTCTTAATATCTATCTTACTGACTATATTTCTGCTATTCCCCTTTAATCCAGAGACCTGGAACTTATTTACATTTTGTCACATTAAAACAACAAAAGTTAACGTGTTTGAATAAGATGCTCTGTGATAAACCAAAACAAACCAGTACATACTACTAAAGCAGAAAAATGTTTTCCAAAGCTTCCTACAGAGACATATCTAACCAGTAAACTGTGCATTTTTATTCACCAGAGTCAATATTTGGGAGGGACATCTTTTGGTGTAATTTGTTGCAAAACTTTTGCGTTATGTCTTTTCCACATTTGTACCTCTTGAGTGTTAATTTTTGGCCAGTCTTTGTAAAATATTTAAGGCTGAGCGAGATCTAAATGAAGAGTGTCTGTGCCACAGAATGACAAAGGCTTGGAGTTTGACTGCAACCCATTCTATCGTATCTCTGTCTGTATGTTTAACAGACAGAGATACGCTAGCTGAAAGGTTAACAGTCTCAGGTTTTCCAGTCTAAGATGTTTTCTTTTATAATTGTCCTGAATACGAGTTTCATTTCCCATCAGCGGGAAAGGAATCCCAGTGAAACATACTGCAACCAACATGTTTGCAATAGGGATGATGCAAACATGTTGGTTGCAGGATAGTAATATACAGTGTTAGTTTTCTTCCGCACATAGAGTTACGTATGTAAACAGGTTCAGTTTTGGTCTCCTCTGATAATAGCACCTTTTTCTGCATGTCTGAATATGACATGGCTTTTGGCAAACTATGTTTCTCCCCCTAACTTTCGAAAAGAGCCAAATGTGTTAAATGCACAAGTCCTGGTTTTTCAGTAAATACATTCTCCAACCTGAGCAATCGATCTATTTCGCTTCTGCTTTTACAATGTCAATTTAGATTTATGATCATGCTGAAGTGTATTTGCACTTAAACCAAACTATTCAGTTTTAGAGGATATATTTAATTTTTTTAATAGAATGCTCAAAGTTTGGGATTTTTAAAAGTTTTATTAATAAACTTAAAAAAAGTGTTAATTAAGTTTATTTGATAGGGACAGACATCAACATAGACAAACAACAGCACAGCAGTCCCATGTTTGCTAATAGCAACTTGCTATTGCTATTAGCTGTGCTTATAGCAACAGCTAATTTGCAGCACTTGTCCTGAGATGAGCTTTTAAACAGTGCATCTTAAAACTAGTCATAATTATTTAAAATAGCACAATATAACACTTCTTACTAATTTGATGTGTTCCTCATTGTTTGTGATGCTAATTATTCTTTAATGTTTTCCTATGAATCAAATCTCTGCACAACTCACAATACAGATGCTCCAACATAAAAGTAAACTCTCTTAATGAGTGTCTTGTGAAGACAACTGGCTGCACTGAAGTTTATTTGAGGTATCAGAGAAAAAATTGCTGAACCCAAAACGGGCAGAACACAAATACATTCTTTGTTGTTTTTTTTTTTTATTTTTAAACCATTTATCATTCATAGTACCTTGTGTTGATCTGTCAAGTAAAATCAAATCAAGACACTTTCGTTTATGGTTGTGATGTGACAAAAACAGAAAATTAATTCCCCCCGGTATGAAAACTGAATGATTAATTTCTTTACCCCTGTTTCTCTAAATGACAAACAGCACCGGCTGATTACACAGACACAAGAATCAGTCTGATGAGGTTATTTTTGTATTCTTTTTTTATTTTGTCGTGCTTTGTTTCTTTCCCCTATAAAGAAATAGTTAGCTATATATATCAACAGTGGCACATGGACTCTAAATTAAACAGGTGTGAAAGACAGGAAAAGAGACAACTAGGCACAGGAGACAAAGAGAGAAATACTGGGAAAGAGAGGAAAGGTAAAGAGGAAAAAGAGTGAAAAATGACAGCAAGTTTATTTTTTCTACAGTAAAACCAAAAACAAACCATGGGAAGTGTACATTTCTTTAACATTTACAATTATAATAATAACAACGGCAATAATAATAACAGTAACAACAATCAGAATTGTTCAAATAATAGCAATAATTATTTTTAAAAAATCAATAAGACCTCTGTTTTTTCATAAAGACATTTTTTTTTCATTTTTATATTTTCTTTAAAGATCACTGGACAGTAATTTGTTCGGTGTTTCACCTCTAAAGGCTAATATTCTGTGTTAGTATAGTTGCTTTATAATGCGTTTCAATAGTAAACAGTTTTCTTAATTCTTAAAAGTTTAATTTAACTCATGTCACTGTTCTTTTTTATACAAACAAAGAATTCAGAGATATGTATACTTGTTCTGTGGACGTGTATGTATGGATGTGTGCATGTAGCTGCATACGCCCGTTTTGTTCTCTTGTTCGCTCTTTATTGACAGCTCCCCTCTTTTTCTCATTGGAACTTTTAAACCTTTTTATCCTCTTAATGACATTCTAAAATAATTAAGCTTCTCTTTAATGCCTCTGCAAGTCATATTCCTTTCTTCCTTTATGGGAACGCAGCCCGACGCTAATCCTTTCATTATTACAGGGCCAACAACAGGGGAACGGTAGGGGGGGGTAACACTGAGAAGCAGAGGGATTGAAAGAGAGAGAGGAGAACATGGTAACAGGTGAACGGAGAGGATGTTGAGAATTACCTTTTTATTTCACTCTTGAACTGAAAGTAGGGCGGATCACTTTAAGTTTTCTTTTAAAACTAGCTAAACAAGACATTCAGCTTATTGCCACAGTCTAGATACTTCTCGCAGCTTTGGTAGGGAATTATGGACAAGCTGTGCTCCGTCGATGAGATACGACCGTAATATGAAAAATCTCTGTAATTTACCATCGAGCACAAAGTAGCTTCTGCTCAAGTTTCCCCTCCACCACCTCCCTGCGCAGCTCTCCTGTGTCCCCTTTGGTTAGAGATTGGGCTTTGTGAAATAGATTCTTCTATTCTCCAGGCGGTGAATTACAGCAGTCATCTGCCTCTAATTCCCCTTCCACTTTGGCGGCTGCACAGGCGAGGCAGAGAGGGGCCACTTTTCATTGTGTGGCCCTCTTCCTTCTTGATCTAAATAATTATGGGATCATTTTGCTTTTGCCTACATTCACTTCACTCCGTCGTCGCTCGTTCGCTCTCTCCTGCAGTCCGGGACTTACAGAACTGTATATGGCACAGTCGTTGATGTCTGGTGGGGCCGAGAGGCTCTCCGTCTCTCGGTCTGTCTCTTGGGTTATGCGAGTGTATATGGAGGAGATGGAGTGGAATGGAGTGTGATGGATTGGCTATGTGCAGTACAGTCGCTTTCAGAAGGCTGCCTGTTATGGCGAATTGTGTCGGAGAGTTTGTGTGTGTGTGCGTGTATTTATATATATACTGTATATAAGGTTGGAGGCAGGGAGAGGGAGGGGTAAGGGTATGAGGTCAGAAGAGAAGGGATTAACAAAACGAAGGGCTACAGTAGGTACTCCTTCTTCCCCTGGCTGGCGTCGTTCCCGTTGAGAAAGGCCTCCTGCACCTCGCCGTGTTCGTCCAAGCCGCTGGCCTCATGGGTGAGATAGGAACCTGGAAGGGAAGAGCGAGAGAACAGAGGTAGAGAGAAAGAGAGAAGAGGGAGATTGTAGGGGAGTGGTTAGGTGGCAAAGCGTCATGATCATTGCAGCGCCATGCAGCGTTTTCACACCAATCAGCGCTCATATTACTGTGTTCCATACCTACAACTGATTAATCCATTAGTTTACTGATTGTTAGGTCAATACCAGGCAAGGATAGGCTCTCGTGTACGGTATGAGCCTATGGGGCAGAAAATTAGAGGTGGCAGATGGACGCATGGAGTCAGAGGAGGAGGAGGTAATAGAAAAAAGGAGAATTATAGACAGAATAAAAGAGGGAGAAGAAGAGAAGAAAAAAATGGTAGAAAAGGGTGGAGGTAATGTTAAGTGCAGGAGAACAAAATTTTGCTTGCATCAGCCACAAAACTATTCCAACTTATTTTAAAAACCATAACCCAGGGGGTTTGTTTGGGGTACAGTTTTTCACAAAACACGTTTTAATCTGGTTTCAGGAGATATGAATATGATTCTGCTGCCGTTGCACCTCCTGTATACATGCATAATAATAATAAAATAACTACATAATAATAGCTGTTCTCCTCTGAATTATGTTGTTCAGTTTTGGCATGCTCCATTGCTCATACACCTTTAGATTCAACACCTTCAAACACAGTAAGGGTCATAACACCTGTTCATGATTGTAAGTCAACAAATTCTAATTAAAGTCATAACAGAGTATTTCTATCTTGGCAAAGCAGCTGGTTAAAATGACTAACAAGAACAATTTGGTTTCATCTCCCTGAGGAAACTATAAAAATTCTGTTTTGGGAGAACAAAACAGGTTTATGAGAAAACCAAATAACCTGCTTTCAATTCAGGGCAACATCGAGGGCTTTCTTATTTGGTCAAAAATTTAATAGTAGCCAGAACTGCAGCACATGATCATAAAAACACCAAAAATAAAATAAAAATGATGAAATGAATTAAATTTAAGATATAACTGAAGATGATTTAAGTCTGTTTAGGAAAGTTAGGCTCATTTGTCTAAGGCCTTAAATTGAAAATGTTTAAAAACTATGCAGACATCAGTACATGACCTTATTAAAAAATATTTTTTAGAAAGCTTTTACAACTATCCATGATTAACAAACTATATAAATAAATGAGATAATAAATGAAATATTAAGTTCCATCTATGAAACTGGACAGAATAGGAAGTTCTTTCCATCAAAAGATAGGCTCAAGCTCAAGCAAGTATTATGAAAAGAAAGTATTTTTGTGATTATATGTTTAATGTAAAGTAGGCTCATGTCAATCAAAGTCAAAATGAGCCTGATTTTGTGGCATAAATTCCAAAACTAAACATGTTCCATGTAAACAGAGTTGAGAAATGTCAGATTCAGTGAAATGAAACGGCCACACCCAGACCAGAGAAAGGAACTGCATATTGTGGTAAAGAAGTTTTTAAAAAGGAGAATATGATGTGTTTAAGGGTGTCAGAGAATCAGTGACCCCGTTTTTTTTTTTAATAAAAAAAAATACTGTTTAGGAGTATTGCTGAAAATCAAGTTAAACCCTTTCTTTAATCTCCAGAGAGAGGAAAAACTTTGACCTGTTAAACTTTTACATTTTGACACCCAGAGACATGTCTCTTTCAATATGCGTGATGTTTTGTTTTTCTGTTGACTAATCATTACAAATTAGTGTGATTACTAATACGTTAACTCCAAATTATATTAGTGAGAAAGCTCCAATAATTATTCAATTCAATCAGAGTTAATATTATTGGTTCTTATAGAAGTTATAGTTGTTTTCTGCATATACAAAACCTTTTCACTGGACTTCAGCCAAGGGATGTTTCTGCAGTAGTGGCTATGCTAGAAAAGAGAACAAACCCCATGAAGCGTCTCTCATGTGTTTAACTTTGAAGAATAGAAGATGCCCAACACTTGATTTATGTGTTTTGTTTTGACTCAGGTCTTCTTCTGTTCTGTAATGCCAAATTACTGTTAAAATAAATACTTGACTTTTTTTCTGTTTTTGGTGAGCAAGAATTACAAATATATTTCTACTTGCTAAATGCCAGAATAATGAAATGGATCTTTTTAATGAAATTATTAAAAGTAGCCAATTTAACTTCACTAAGATTACTATGCATATTAACAAATTGGAAAGGCCCAGATGGTGACACATGATGACTATTCAAACGTGTATACCCAGAGGACAAACCCCATGGGAAAAGTCCACTCATCATACCATTGAGGACAGAGATGGGATCTGGTGAAATGTGTGCATATCAACCCTAGAACAAAAGCAGAAGACTGTATGAAGACGCTGTCTGAAGCCGGTCAGAGGGTGTTCAGAGGGTTATCAGCAATGACGCAAGTCCTGGATGGACAAGCACTAAAAAGCTACTATGAGCGGAAGAAATAATAATCCAAAAGGAACATAAAAAGCCAGAATGCAGTTTGCAAATGCCTCCAGTAACAGAGAACACTATGTGGAAGAATACTAAAGAACGAGTGCAAATGGGTCTTCTAAATGGATCATGGCCACAAGCATGCAGACAAATTAATTACAAACTGCTTAAGGATGACAAATTAAATGTTTTGGAGCGCAATCATAAAGCCCTGATTTCAGTTCCATGGAAAATGTGTTGCAGGGTAGCCTACAAATTTTCCTCTGTTACATCAGTTCTGTCAGGAGGAATGAGCCAAATATTCCAGCAAGCTATTGTGGATCCATAGTGGAAGGACATACAGAACATTTTACACAAGCTGCACAGTTTAAAAGGCAATTCCAGCAAAAGAAGTACAGTATGTACTTTCTTTTTATTCTTTTGAAAACAAGAAATGTTTTCAAATCTAAAAAAGAAAAATATTACGCTGGTATTCAGCAAACAGAAATATTCTACATTTTCCTAAACATAAGGCACTAAAAAGAAAAAAACAACAACAACAAAATAAAACAAAACAGAAAAAAGTAAGCTGCATGTTTTTTAACATCAGGTCTCAACTGAGTATTTGCTACAAGGAAATTCCTAGACAGTGATTTAGGTTGGAACGGACCTTTTACTGCAACAATGCTGTACTCCACTATCTGGTTTCAACTGAATAAGCAGCTACATGTAACTCAGAGAGGGGCTTGTCTTTGCAAGTTGATGAGGAACTGTTTTGAGAAAAAGGCTGGTGTAATACAGAAGCAACACCAGCAGAAGTTATCTCCCAGCTGAAGAGTCTTTTCAGTCACAAAGTGAGTGACACTCAATTTCTCCTCACCATAGAGGTTGACTGACATGTTGACAGTTACAATGGACCAAAGACAAAGCTCTAATGGCCCCTGTCTCAACATTGATTGGCTGTAATAGTGCTGTCTCTCTGCTGATTGGTGGTCAAGTCATGGTGGATGTTGACAGGCAGCTTGTGTGGCCATTGGGTGAGTTATCCTGTTTACAGCTAGTCGCACTATTCCAAAATAATTTATTGGCGGCTTCTGAACATAGTGTAACACTTGCAATAATGGGGGCACTTATAAAGATAGGAAACAGTGGGAGGCTGCCTTTGAGTCTTGATGCACTAACATACAATCATAAAACATCTTGGTTACACCTGTCTTTCCTGCTCCACCCTTTCTCTTTGACTTCTCGGGCCAAGATAATTTATTATGGAAAGTGCTTTGCCAGAGAAAAGCATCCAATCCATCCTGGATTTTGTTGACAATTTTAACACGTTAGTTTAAATGATTGTTTACGCAGCATCTAGATGTACCCAACTACTAATAAACTTTTAATAGGAATTTACCAGAAGTTACAGCTATAAGGAACCTTGACAGTAATAAAAGAATATTTTCTTATATTTGTGTCGTGCGTTTGAGATTATGCTTTACCTTTCTGCCGGACAGAGCACCAGATAGTGACAATGAGGACACAGATGACGGTGAAAACCAGAAGGGCCAGAACGCCACCTATCACTGCATAAGGTACTGCGCTGTGAGTCTCAACCACTGCGCCGGGGTCTGAAAAAGAACAAAGAAAAGAGAGAA